CTAGAAATATAGTAAAAACGCTGAATAGTACTCCAGCGTCGCGACATGCCGACGTTGGTACGAGTATGTTAGTCTACAAACGTCGCCTAAAGTAATTGATTTTACCCGGGAGAACGAAAGAAGGAAACTCCGCTTTTCAGTTGTCTCAGGCGATTGATTTTTGACAAACAATGACCTTTCAGAGGTCAAATTGCTGTCAAGAATATGAATTGGCTGCTTCGCAGCAATAAGAAAGTATAATACATACTCCAAGTATTGAAATGCATGCCATCGTGTTGGGATTGAAACACGATGGCGTGCATTTCAATACTTGGAGTATGTATTATACTTTCTCATTAACATTACTACTTTGAAATAAACGTTTAATAAATATGCTGTACATTGAATGTTAAATATATTTGAATTTCTTTATTTTAAAGTAGCTGATAGGAGAGAATATGAAATAAATAAAACATTTGACATTTTTACCCAATCACAGGTCATTTCACTACCTTCAACCAAGGCCTGAATGTTGTGGTTCTGAGGAATATAGCAAACCCTGCTTTCCATTTGTCTGTGATACAGGGAATGACTGTTGGCTTGGTAGGTACACTTCTAAAGCCCTGTCCAGACTATCAAAGTTTATTTGACAAAAACATGTGACATGCCTTTGGTCATGATGACATCACATCATGACCATATATAGGCACATCATGACTATATATGGGCATACAACAGTTTTTGTTCAAGGAAATTTGATAGTGTGGACAGAGCTTTAAGCTCTGTCAAGACTATCAAATTAAATTTGACAAAAACATGCTATGGTCATGATGACATCACATCATGAATTGACCATATATAGGCACATTATGACTATAGATGGGCATACAACAAATCCAAATGCACTTCCCGTGAGCACTACATGACGCCACGCTGTCTGCTGATTTTAGATGGCAGTCTGAACAGATTATCATTAAAAACGATTTATTGCACATGCATCTTCTCTTTGGGCCTAGTGCTAAGTCTGTCTCTTATACACATCTAGATGTGTATAAGAGACAGGACTATTTCTCATAGGAGATTACCATTTTCACAAAATGAAGTTCACGCCGCCACGTCCACCTCAGCCCCACCATGGTTGGTGTAAGTAAGTGGTAAATAATCGACCTCTCCTTTCACCCACTGCTGGATCGCCACTGAACTCATGGGTGCACTCCTTTTTTTCCTCTTTCCTCTCTTTAATTAAAATTTTTGTCTCTCATCTTTACTTTTCGGCTTGACTGACGGGGTGTGGGGCACGGGCCCTACTGACCCTCCGCTGGGTCCACCACTGAGCCAACGACTCTTTGGCAGAATGAGTGCCTGGCTTTAGAGTAAACGGGTTACAGCTACAGTAATTATTACGTATTGTAAAGGTGTATAAGACATATGACTATACTCATCATTAAGAGTGAAAATATGAGTTTTATGATTTTCCAAATTTTTTTCATCGCAGGGAACTGGGAATAATGACTCAAAGTTCCGAATTCATGAGAAACTTGATCATCATGTGACATTCGAATGGGTACCAAAGAATGGGAATTACATCCGCATCCATTCACATGGACAGCCGGCAGCTACTATCGGTGATAATAAAACTTCAGACACAGAATTTTGGGTGAACTTATTGGTAAGAATAAAATCATTTTAATATGTAAAATTGAATTGTACTTGGTTTATTATCAATACAGTTGATGATATGCTAAAATATCTTCTTTTTTTTCTGTTTCAGTCTGGTGTGCAAGTTATGCAGAGATGAAAAGGGAGAGAGAAGTGTCATTCATTATTTATCTATTTCTTAAATTGCATGATATTTTCTTTTCATCTTTTATTTCGGAATATAGTTACAGTACATGGCGATGCAATATTCTCCATAGCTTGTAATTAATTACGTATGCTATAAAAAAAACAGTGTATTAATATACTGTTGCTCAAAACTTAAAAACAAATTTTAACTGGCTTTATTAAATGGTTGCCCTAACCAATTACACTTTATTATAAAATGGCTGAAGTTGAGATGTGATATAATAGAATTAGGTACAATTGTTTTCAGGGTAAATAACATATATATTACATATAAAACAACATACAATATATTGTATTTATATAATTTGTAGAACAGAAGGAATATTACTAAATATAATGAAACTATGTAACATTAAGGTTACATCTTTAAAATGAGTTGGCAAAGTAGAAAGAAAAGAGATGGGGACAAATAGAGGTAAATGACTTTAGGTTTCTTGATTATTGCAAAATTTAGTAAATTTTACACTTGTATATTACCGATTTTTAATAAAATGATTTATATAATTAGGTTTCTTGATTAAGCCAAAAAAAATTGTTTGTTTGCCCACTTCCACCCGCCCCTAACTCATTGAAAAAAATAGGGGTGGAAAAACAAAAAAAAACTTAAAAAAAAGGTTTTTTTTAGCATTTTTCTTTACAAATTATACAAATTATAAAAAATGTGGGGGAATTTATTTTTTGCCAGATGCCCTACAAATTAGTCTAAAGTTGTTGTCTGATGTAAGATATTGTCATTCTATTCCATCTGAGGAGTATTTAAAAAAAATTCCACCCGCACCTATTTATCGTTTTTTTAAAAAGAAAGGCAAACAATTTATTTTTTTTGGCCTTATTGCAGAATTTGTTCAGTTTTAGATAGTATAATACACACACAAGTATCAAAATGCACGCTATCGTGTCGGGATTTAATGTCGTCAAAATATTGATTCCCGACAAAATAGCGTGCATTTCGATACCCGGAGTTTGTATTATACTATCTTATCTGAGATTAATCAGTGGACCTTTCGGTTTTTGTTAAATTTTACACTTGTATATTACCAGATTTTTTATTTTTGGAAGAAGGGTCAATCCATGTGTGTTCATCTTTTGATATGCAATATTAACAGTTTAAATAAGTACCGTAAAACCTCACTTTTGAAGCTCTGGGCTTCTTATGGGCTTCTTATAACTTTGGATGCGCTTCTTTTGGAGATGGGTTTCTTTTTGGGCTGATATATATATTCAATGTATGACAATTCCAATTTAGTAAAATCATGCCTTGAAAATGCAATCTTTCATGGAGTGTGTGTTTTGTATATTAAGGATTATGTGGTTTAATATACAGTATACACAATCTTATTTTAAATTTTGGCATTGAATTAACTTCAAGTATAAAGTTACTAGTGATCTGATTCTGTAGCAACAAATTTTAAATGTCTTAATATTGTATAATGTCATGCATAGATATAACCATCAATGATGAGAACATAATAGGTCCATGGTGAGAATCTATGAAGCCCAGTATATCCCACCCTT